TGTATGTATTTTACGGGCTTTTTTTGGTGTCAATTGGTCTTTAAGAAGTGAGGAGCGTGTACCCTTATCAGACCAGGCCGCATGACGTGATTTACGCCCGTTTCCGTGCCCGGCGTCGGGGCGGCGTGGTGAGGAGACAAGCGGCATACATCAGTGCCGGCTCCCGTAACAACACGCGTGATCCTCCCGTCACGGGCAGGCTAATTATGGCCATACCAGTAATCCAGAAACCTCATGCCCGTAGTCAGGACTTTGAAGGGTGCCGGGTTCTTCCCACTGTATGAGGGACCAGCGAGCGCCCGAGGTTGTGCCTGGGGGTATGCTCCCCCGGAAAATGTTGAAAACTGAACCTTCTGAAATGGCATTCCCTGCGTTTTTGAGTGGATTTCAAACAAAAAATCAGACAATGAAAAGTGAGCCGTTTTTCTAAGATTCCAGCCCCGCTGGTGATACGAATCAGTCCATGTTTAAAAAAAATCTTGGATCCTTAGATATAAAAAGTGGACCTTTGCATGAACTCGTTCCATAAGACTGCCCGGCCGGGCCCCGGTTTGGAGATTTAACCTCAGCATAAGGTCGTCGTGAATGTGTGGCGGTGGCTCTATCAGAAACTGCCCATGCCTGGTTGTTTATCAGAACTATATAGCCCGTGAGAAATTGCATCACAAAACCAACTTGTCAAGATAACAAAATAGTTTCTGTAATTCTGCAATGTGTTTTGCGGACAGAAGGCAAATAAATTTTTGTTCGCACAATAGGAAGATAGATTGGCTATTCGATTTAGAACTGTAGATAGGGAGTGAGTGACTGGTATGTGCGATCATGATATAGCCGCTCCAACGAAAGAAGGTAGGAAGATATACTGTATATGAGATTTAGTTTTACGTTAGAAGGCATATCAAGGGCAGAGACGTGATGGTTTCCATTCAAGAGGAAACGATATTATGCTGCCAAGAAAAGATGTGACTTGCTCGAGATTATTCTGCACCATACACCATATTTTCTCCAGTGAGGCCATTTGGATTTGATTGTATGGATGACATCGACGCACGCATGACTTTTCGTCCGTTTCAAAAAAAAAAAGTTTTCGACCATACTGTAAATCGTACAAAACTGCTGCAAAATGAGCAAATATATACCGTAAATTTGCAACAACAAAAAATTGGAAAACGATACTAATGTCGTAGAATGCCAAAATCAATTCCAAAGGAAAAGAAGAAAATATCAAGAAATGAAAATGAAGAGTCTATTATTAGCCATACCATGCTCTGTGTGTTTAGTCAACCTTTATGACCACGTAGTTTTCATAATGAAGGCGATTTATTTTTTTGCCAAACTTTTTTTTCGCACGCTCGAATCAGTTTTCGGGTTCCCAGAGGATGTCATCCATATAATCAACTCAACATGCATAATTTATGAGGAAATTCTTTGTTAAAATAAAACTGTCTATTTGTAAAGAATATGATCAACTTATATAATTCATGGAAATGAGGATCCTATCTGCATAATCAGGGGGAATAATCTATAATTTGTCAGTCATAAAGATTAACATGATTTGGCGAAGGTATGAGATCGTGGAACTCTAGTTACTACATTTGACTGATACTGTGCAGTAAGAGACCGCAGCAAACCAGGCTTAACGCCGGACGTCCACACGAAAGCCGTCGTCAGTACTTTTCGCTGTGGGAGCGGCCCGACGAAACTTCGTGAATGGCATATCAGAGAGGCACAGGGGTCATTTTAAAAGCCCGATTGCCTAAACCTTTTACAGATCGGTGAAGAAGACTAGGGCTATTTAGAGTTATGCTCACGGGCCCGGTGACTCGGGTTAGCGCTATGGCATTTACAACAAAGCAGCAGCAACAATACACCAATCATTAGCAATTCTGCCTTAGTTTTGAATTTGCAGAGAAGTCGCGACCTGAAATTTCACTATTCCACTACTTCATTACGACCTGTTCGAAGCTATAAAATGAGATGAAGTTCGCCGTATCTGTCTGTGTTAAATCGAGTTGAATGATGGCGCACCGGAGGAATGGGAAGGTAACACGCTTATATGATAAACGATGCTGATTTTTACAGGTGTCGCCAGAAAGGGCAAACACTGTGAAATGCACCGACATAAAGGACCAAATGTCAGCTCCACCGCCAAGTGTGAACATTCCGGGCATACGCTTGGCTACCTGATTATGCGCATCTGCGATGTAGGCTTTTCTGCATGGCTGATGTCCATGATATCACCTTAACCTGAGGAACCTCGTGGTCTGCATGTCTGATGATCGATATTGCCTGTCGTCTTATAGGACCTGACAATCTTGCAACGCTTTAATACCATTATATTACCTCAAGAAAAAAAATGGAAGTATTGTTTTTGGTACGTGTGCACGTATGTCCGTGTGTGTGTCTGTGTTTCGGTATGGCCGAAATACTTCGGGATATAATGGATATTATGGTTGAGTTCAGTCTGTCCCAAGATAGAAAGTCATTAATCACGTCTACATCTGGTAGCGGTCGCTGTCTTCACAGGTGTTTTTCGTTACATGACCTCCTTGACAGCTACATGTAGTGCGGTTTCCCTTACACGATGAAGAAAGACTTGTAGATACCATGGTGCATGAGATAGAAGAGGACACAGTCACAAGCACACTAGATTGAATATTTCATGGAGGTCTGAGTTCTCTAAATTGTTGTTTTACCTTTGAGATTATAGCCACCCCCGTCGTAAGATACGCTGCAGTGGCTGCTTCGTTGCTATTCATACATGTAGCTTATTCCATTTCTGTCTCTCATCGCGTAAATTTACAGAGATTACAAATGGCACACATTGACAAGGGCAGCGGAAGCAAAAAATAACAGCGCGTCTACCTCTGGTAATAGCGGGTACTCTATTTACGATTCAAATAAAAAAGTTCGGGAATGGAGTTGAGAACGGTGTTTTTCGTGCTCGTAACAAATGAAGGTCGTATTTTCCCTGAGCTCTCCGGTTGCCTGACGTAGTGAGGTTGACTAGGGTACCACTTAGCCGCAGAGCTATCAGGTATAATCACTGTAACCTGCGTCAGAACGGTAACCATTTCATATTACGTCTGTTGTTGTTATCATCATCATAACGGCCATAACCACAGGAGGGACCGTCACATATGATTTGTCTCTCGGTGACACTTCGGTTGTCTGGGAGAATAACAAGTTGTGAATACATGCATAGATACACTCAAGTTTGGAATTTCCACTGAATCGCTCTGTCGTTTTAATAGAAAGAACTGTGCGTAGGTCTGAGAATTAAAGACTAGATGAGTATGTCGCTGAATAAAGAATAAAACGTCCAGCTTTTACATTTTGACATGAAAAAGATTTTGTTTTCTATTCAATCGTTCTTTCACCGCCCTTGATTTTTGGGCTTAGATGTGCTTTGTGATCTAGAGTGGGTACCTTTCTGTCCAGCATGCTTGTGTTTTGGACTCTCAAGATATATCGTGTTGCAGATCTTGCAAAAATGTCTACCAGGTTATCCAGTTTTGCAGTCTGGTTTTAACAGTAGCTAATAATAGGGTTTTTGTATTAACAACTCTGGGAATTTCATGCCCGCAGCAGGCACCTGTAAACTGCGTAACCGTGTCATTAGCTGTAAAATATGACGATAACAACATCTCCTTAACGTAACATGCACAATTCGACATAATAGTGGTGTAAGAAAAGATTGAGAAACAGTCATGACTTCAAATATCAGAGTTATTAACCAAGATTGACGTGTTAAAAAACTCGTCTTTTCCAAGACCTATCGTAGAGTGGCCATCAAGTACAGTTGGGACATCATCACTAGAAAGCTTTAAACAACTCCTGCAATTAAATGTGCAAAGATCGAGTGTAACAAGTCGTTCGGAGTAATCTAGCTAGCTACCGCCGCGCCGCGTGCCTGCAAAGCTGGTGTGTTACGCCGAGGGGTGGTTATACCGGCTATACAGATACAGAAGCTGGAGAAGCTGGTGTGATACGCCAAAGGGAGGTTATACCGGCTATACAGATACAGAAGCTGGTGTGTTACGCCGAATGGCGGTTATACCGGCTATACAGATACAGAAGCTGGTGTGATACGCCAAAAGGCGGTTATACCGGCTATACAGATACAGAAGCTGGTCTGTTATGTCAAAGTCGGTTATACCGTCTATACAGATACAGAAGCTGTGTGTGATACGCCAAGGAGTGGTTATACCGGCTATACAGATACAGAAGCAGGTGTGTTACTCCAAAGGTCGGTTATACCGGCTATACCGATACAGAAGTTAGTGTGTTACGCCGAAGGGAGGTTTTACCGGCTATACCGATACAGATACAGAACCTGGTGTGTTGCGCCGAGAGGTGGTTATACCGGCTATACAGATACAGAAGCTGGTGTGTTACGCCAAAGTGCGGCTATACCGGCTATACAGATACAGATACAGATACAGAAGAAGCGCGGTCTTAGCGCAAAAGCGCGCCCACAGAATCGATAAATCCAGGCTGGTAATGACAGGCTGGATTTTAATCCGTGTTTCAATTTCGTCCTTGCAGACCGATAGTTAAAGCAAAGACAATCCATCTCTACCTCGTTATCTTACCGGTGCTTGATTACTGCAGCGAAGGAGTGTACGAAGTCCCAAGTGAGAGGGATAAGTAAATCTATGGAGCCCTCCGCAGGCAAACGGGATTGAATTAATATTCTAGTTGGAGCTCCGCCATGTAAGGCATCGAAGAGCTCCAAATTGTCTGCCTTGTAGTTGAAAGAGCGGAAACAACCGACCATTTCAGGGATCGCGACCCTCCTTCGTGGTGCAAAACCGTCTCATTTCCAACCTTTTTTTCATCTCCACTGATGTTAGCAGCTCGAACTTTACTTTCTAAGGACTGATAGAGTCGCCCGGCTGCCAGCGCCGCTAGGTTTCACTGCCTCTACGAACTAGAAGCTTGTAACACACAAAAACCAATGCGTTCCTGGACCGCAGAAATACACAAAACAAACCTACCTATGGTGACGGTTGCCGGTGCTTCAACCGCCGCAACTTGTACCACCGTCAGCCGCAGATGCAGCGCCAACGCAAGGCAGAGCCAGAGGAGGAAAGTTTGCAGTCCTGCCATGTTGAAGAACCGGAAGACCTGCCCGTCCGTTTTGCAGATCGACAAGCGCCCAGAATCTTCGATATGGGCGGTAATTTACCATCTACGGGCCCTTCAGTGAAACGTCATTGCGATTGATCATACCACCACTGCACGCCGCGAATGCGATCTCCTGCTCAGCCAACTAACTTGAGTTATGCAGAGGAATCTGACGTTGGCCAACGCGAAGGAAGCTTCTCTTTTTTTTCGAAGTTTATAAATCCATCAGCTGACTGCAGACTGTTCCAACGGCTGTTGGTGGCATCTTTGCGGGTACGCACCGCGCTCTTCGTGAGGTTTGAAGAACATTACAGGTACGTGTGTGTGCCTTCAACCCCCGAAAGCTGATTGAATCTTTGATGGTCATCCAATGAGAAGGCTCGAGAAAGAAGGCTTGATGTACATGTACAGTAGGTGAGGAGGATCGTTGCTTCACGTTCAATGTCCTGTGCAAAAAAGGCCGATGTAGAGTTCAATTGTGCACATCAAAGTCACGCTCCCACTGTTAGAGATGAGTTGTACTTTCTGACGCGTGGTGTGAACGGGATATCGAAATGTTGATGACCCCACCCCCCTGTTTGCCTATAGCTCCTCAAGTGATGATTCTTTATTCATGACAACACAGGGCTCGAAATATTTGGTGCATGTGCACCTTACTGCACCCAAAATTGGAGCTGTGCACCCAATCTTTTTTCTGTGAGTGCACCAAAATACTTTTGTAGGTATTTTTGTGCATATGAAATGTATGATAGTGCAGGTAGTTCTTGACATCTGAGTGTCTGAAAAATGTTTAAAAATATTGCAGTACTTGTTAAAGATCTTGAAGTTAGCTCCCATTTCAGATTCAAGCTCAGAAGAGGAACCGTAAGATCTGTGATTACGTTTTCTTTTATATGGTGCACCCAAAAATTGTTTCTTGCACCCAATTTATTAGGTTGGGTGCACCAGTGCACTTATTCCCAAAAAGAATTTCGAGCCCTGCAACACGATGTCGTCATACATAGTCTCCGTGGATAAGCCCCCATCCACCCGTACACCCTACCCCGAGGTGCGGTGAGCGATTGGCCTATTTCTCCTTATTGCTGTTTCGGGCTTTCTCGACAGAAGTAGCCGAAAGGGCAAAGAATGCCTCAGGCATGCTTTAGGCTATAAAGTTGGCATTTTTTAATGAATATATGAATGAATGAATTCTTTATTGCTCTGCAATCGTACATGGTACAATGTGTGGCAGTAAGACAATAATACAACTACAAAACTAAACTATTTTACAATTATTACTACAAACTACTATCGATAACAATATATGAGTTACAATATATGGTCATGCCTTGATGGTTTGGTCTCGCTTATAGAATGAGGTATACAGAGATTGACCTAATATATATGTATGCAGTTATGGGTCATATTGGGAGGAACAAGAAACGTGTGAAATATCTAACAGATTTTTTTATTTGCAATTCAACATGGATAATACAGGATGGTGGTGAGGTACTCTAACTTTAGCTAATTTTTAACCTCACCACCAAACATACAAGTATACAGTGACAAAATACACGACAAAAAACGACAGAGAACAGCAAATGTGTGGAAATGGTAAGGCTATGTAGGAGTTAATCTAATACAAACCGTTTCGTATCAATAACGTAAGTTTGGGTGATTGTCAAAATGTTACAGTTTGTATCTGGGTGTAAGTCGGTTGATCCTATAGGGAAAATGTTAAGCAAAATTCATTTATTCATTCATTCATTCATTCATTCATCTATTCGTCACATAAGAACTGTTCAGACATGTAATGTAGATCAACCATAGAGCCTACCAAATTCTGTAGATTGCTCAGTAGGGTGACTCTTTGCTGATTATATACATTATATCTATATATTATAAATAAACATTATTTCCATATATTCTATTTTGAAAATGAAAGCATCGCCCATCCACTTCTGTATTCCGGCATGAGAAAGAACTTACCTCTAAATCTCTAAGGTGTGCATGGAGGTGCATTTGGTATTCAATATATATGGTGATTTTAACGCAACGCTGCGGCACTATTTTTAGTTGGTTTATGATGTTACTAATCTTGATATCAAAGTTATGCGTCCCTCCATTGAGGTTAATAATTAACGTATTAATCAACATTTGACAAACCGTGATTCATTCTGTTTGTGTGTCTACATATATCTGATATTTAGCTTAACATAATGTGTTTTTTTATCATGCTCTATTTACCAGAACAACAGTAACCTATCAGGTCCTGGATCCGGTAACAGGCAAACTCAATGCATTTCATTGAGGTTGATAATTAACATTAATCAGCATTTGACAAACCCTGAATCCTTCTTCTTTTGTGTCTACATGTACCTGCCATTCATATTAGGCCACACCAAGTAATTTTTTTTAAGGATGACATCCGCGCGCGCATCAATTTTCACCTGATTTCGAAAAAAAAATGTTGCCCCAATGACAGTGCCGAAAATGGGCACATATTTCTGTTGCCATACCGGCACGTGGATGGCAATATGAAGAGGCTCTGATTTAATGTTTTGTCGTTTACTTTGTTGCAGTGATGTATTTCATTCCTTTTATATGTGATGGTGGCTGTGTATATGTTATGTTCCCACTGAATCAAACTTTTTGTACAATGATTGAAAACGTTTATTTTTGTTTCAGTGAGAAATGAATGTTGTAATACTAGTTGGCAGTAAACTTGGCGCAATAGGTATCATTTCTTGTTTAACAAGGTTTATGATGTCAACATTTGAAAATGTTGGCATCTTGGTTTTTTTTGTCCAGCCTTTTTTTGACGTATTGCATCAGATTTGATACCAAGAATTGAGGTGCTCGTATTTCCCAAGAACTATCTGCCACCAAGCACAGTTGGGGCATCATCACTAGAATGCTTTAAACAACTCCTGCAACTAAATGTGCAAGGGTTGAGTGTAACAAGTCGTTCAGTGTGATATAGCTAGCTGCCGCAGCGCCGCGTGCCTTTGAAGCTGGTGTGTTACGCCAAGGGGCGGTTATACCGGCTATACTGATACAGATACAGATTTGGAGTCTGCAGAGGATGTCATCCATAAAATGTATTTGCTGTGGCCTTATCATGTAATGTGGATTTCCCATGTTCTATTTGCCCGAACAACAATAACCTGCATAGTCGTGGATTCGCTACTTTGCAAACTCAATGCATTTCAATTGCACAATGTCACCGACCCCCTCTGTCTGGACGCCGTCCAACGTGTGCTTACCAGAATTAGCCCCAGCGGTCAAATGCGAAAACGACTGCACCTACCACTGACTTATCCAAGAAGCCAGTACTTTCATCATATAGTGCGTCTGCTGCCGTGGTACGTCGTAAAACAATGAGAGATGACTTTTAGAAGTCGGTGTGAACAATAGAGTCTGTACCAAAGAGCACCGGACTTTCTATATGTGCTTGAAGGCAAACAATTATCTCCAAGCAGATCTTTCGGTGGGAGAAGACAGAATCAAATTGCCCAGTCTGTATGCATTTCCCCACTGATACTGTCTCCCCCACCGAAAGATCTGCTTGGAGATTAGGCATCAAATGCAGTTTGAGGGCTGCAAAACTGTGGATATTTAAAGGCAATGTTCTGGTCACTCTTTTGATGTGGTAAGTCAAATTAACCTCATCTTATGACAAACTGATATCGATGAGGCAAAAGTGTGACGTCGCTGACGGAAAACGGTTGCTTGCTTTGTACCATAAGCTGGTTCTAGTTATTTATGGGCGGTGCCTAAAAATCAAGAGACGCCTTACGTAGCTAACGTTTCGCGGATGTTTCAAACACATCAAGTATAAAATGATGACAAAAAATGAAGTTAGAAATGGCAGTAAATGTCAATATCGGACAGGCACCCAGAAATCGCATTGGATGCCTTTAATCTGTGATATATGACAACTAATCGATGACTAGAGAATTAATTACAACTGAGCGGAGTCCCAGACGACCCGTCGTGTATTGAGTGCGAGCAGACCTGGAGGGGACCAAACGAACAGGTCTAAGGTCTGCCTGCTTTTGCTCTTGAGGCTACTAGGTATTGATTAGCACATGGCAGCACCTATACATTACAACGTAAAGATTGTACTATCAGAAAAGTTCATCTGTGTTGTTGGTCACATGTTTAGACTTAAAACTTTTGTTCCAACACAAAAAATGGTTCTCACATAGAGCTTTCTTAATCACTTAACCGTGACGGGGGCCGACATCGTTTACCGACTATCTTTGACCCAAGGTTGGCGTCACAATTCAGAGAAGCCACGTGACAAGTCTCACTGGGTCAAGTCTATTGAAGAAGACCAGAGTGACTTGCCGAAAGCTCTAGGTGAGAACCATTCTTTGTGTTGGAACAAAAGTTGTAACTTAAAAACAAGTGAAAGATTGTGTTTAATAATTACTAATTAAACTTCCACATTGCAGCCAAATGCAGAAATTTTGTTTGAACGAAAGCGGTAGATTAAGTTTGAAGTAAACTAGCTACTGTTGGCTACATATAATAATGTGTCGACATTTGCGGCTATTTTCGTATTTCTCTTGTATTCCTGTATATAATCAACACCCTGATCCAAATTCCGATTTCGTCCACGTATATAACGCCCCTGTACTAGATTATAAGACTATTTAAGCAACAATAGAATAAACAGATTGTTTTAAAGGATACAACTACTTCAACCTTGCTACAAGTTTAGTTTTTTTGTCATATCTTTGTATATCGGTAAATTTGATTCATCATTCATAGAAGCTGTAAGAACCGCATCGAAATAATCCTAATAGAAAGGTCATGAAACCACAATTCGTCTTTCTCCAAACGTACTTCTCAAACTTCAAAGAGATATTGACCTGCGATCTTCATCGAGCGAGAACACATGATCAGTAAGAGCAAGGATCTTGACAGGAGATACCGCCATGAACCACTTTACACGCATACAAGAACCTAAATATTGAAAGTCCACGTCTCGGTAT